GCCTACCTCCTAGCAGGTGGCACATGCACTGGACATTACCCAGGAGGCAGTCAATGCTGTCACCAGGCCACTCTAGCTGGTTTCTCTATTTCAAGATTCCATGTCTGTTTCCTCTAGGCCTGAGATCTGTCCTCTAGGGCCCAGTGAACAAAACTGCCCCTACAAACCCTCACTGGCATACAGAGAAAGCCCTTTGTGAAAGGATCATTGACAGATATCAGGAAACCTAGGGTAGTCAGCACTAGGGATGCAGGATTTCAGGCCACTCCACAGTATGACCCTGCCTGCCCCAGTCATGTCCATGGGGCCTTTGTACCATTTTGTGTTGCTGGGAGGGTACGGAGAACAAAGCCTCCCACCCTACCCATGCACCCCTAGACTCTGACCTCACTACCCAGTCTGGGCAGCACCTACTGAAAACCAAGGATGTCCACCTCAGACGCACCAGGAGATTCTCCCGGGTATGATGAAGAGGTATGGGTACCTCTTACAAGCTTTGGAGACGAGGCCTGTGCAGCTGGGAATGGCTCAGAGAGCTAGGCCCACCCCCTGCCACAGTAGGGTGGCCCCTAATGTGCAGCCCTCAGACTTGACTGAAACCTACTGTGAGCCAAGTTAGTAGGATGGCCAGTACACAGCTGCTGAGTTCAATATGCAACCAGAGCAGCTCTCAGAGGTGGGTCTGGGACAGCCCTTTACTCCTTCAGATGTTTCCTTTTCCCTTCACCCTGCCCCCATGCTTTCTTGGCCTCCAAGCTATATGGAAGGATCTGCTGAGATACCCTCTTCTTTTTCCACCTGGCAGCCTGGCCAAGCCCCCAGCTGAACACACTCTTCTATGGGGGCTGACCTCTGCCCAAAGCAATGCAGACAGTAGAGTGAGAAGGGCAGAGAAGGCAGGGCTATGAGGCTGCTGACCAGGAGGACCTAAGCTCAGGCCACCACAGTTCACCTCTGCACTACCTGCTTCAGTCTCCTCGACATAGCCCCAGTTCAGATGGGACCACAGCACCAGGAAGGCTACCCTAAGCAGGGGCTATCCTGGCACTGTTGGTGGCCAGTAATAGGTGTCTGTCCTGCTGGAGGGAAGGGGCTGAGCTTGCAGACCCAGTGGTTACTGAGGATCCCTGACAGAGCAGCAGTTTCTGGTGCATCAGGGTACATTCAGGTATGCCAAGCATATGTTTGCCAGTGTGCTGCTATATCAGGGTTACTGTGTGTGTTAGCACACTCAAACAGGACCGGTGACTGTCAGTGCACAGAAAGTGATGTACCTGTGTTGCATATCCCTGTGAGAACCTGCCAGAGTCCCTGCATGTGCACATCTGGAAGGGCAGTCTTGCTGACACACCCACAGGAGTGGGGAAACTGATCTCAGAGTCATCTCTACTCCTTTAGGGGGCAGAGGTCAGGGTCAGTAGACAGCCAGGTCTTAGAAACACCTTTATGTATCCTGAGAGATATGTGGCCTGTAGCAAGCTCAGTCAGCCAGAAGCTCAGCAGATCTCAGAAAGGAAGCTCCTCTGTGTCTAACTGGGACACATTCCAGGAGGTTCTGGTTCTTTGCAGAAATGTCTGAGGGAGCCCCAGCTGATTTGCCACTAACCCTTGACCTTCTAGGTTAACCCTCCATAGTCCAACTGTGCTGCCAAGAAGCTTGGCATGCTGTCTTGGCAGAAGACCTTGTGGACCTGGGTCTGTCTGATGCTGGTGTCTGCAGGTCTGGTGTCTGTGTGCTTTATGTACAGGTCTTGGAGTATTTGCAATTCATCTGTGCTGTTTGTAGCGAAGCTCCTTGCCTGTGTGGGCAGTCCTATGCATGCATATTCAGGAGCTGATGAGGTGGCACACAGGTGAAGGGCATGACTCACCTGTGCTTGCTGTCTATACTTTCAGCATGTGTGCATGCATGCATTTGCTAGTAGCTGGGCACCTGTGTACACAGGTATGACTCCTCACAGCTCAGTGACCCTTGGGTCCACACTTGCGGGCCCATATCTCTGTCCCTGCCTGTCTCCCTGCCCTGAAGGGGGGGTCTGAGCCTGCTCCACATTCAGCCCCAATCACCAGAGGCCCTGGGCTAAGGCTGAGGGCAGGCCAGGCCTCTGCTCGCCCACACCTACTGACTTGGCACCAGTGTGCTAAGAGACACCTCACCCCATCTCTGAGTGTCTCTTCCTGGGGTTCTACCAATCTGGGCTCAGTAAATGGCTGATTAATAAACGGATGAACCCAGGCACTCCCCGATGGGTCAAGGCAGCGAGGGGCCTGTGACCCTTCTCCCCTAGGATGTCTCGGGTCACCCGTCTGCCCCAAAGCTGCCGCCTCCGAGGTTATTTATGACCCTCCTCCTCCTCCCACAGCGGTGCTCCTGCCTCAGCCCGGCGGCGGAGGGTTACCAGCAGGGGGATCAAGAGCAGCGACAGCTAGGCGCCCGGCTGGCAGGCGGGGCCTCGCTGGCGAAGGAGGGGCTGTGGAAGGAGGGGCTGTAGTTTGGGATGATTTTAGAGCCGGAAACTGTCTCTCTGGCCTCTACTCCGATCTGAAAAGCGCAGAGGACAGTGGAGTCCAGATGTCCTGCCCCGGACACAGGTGTAGGCAGTGTGATGTCCCCAATGAGGAAACTTGGTCTGGGACAGAGGTGTCTTGCTCCCACGAAGAAGATGTGGAGGAGGTCCAGATAGGTCCTCCAGCTTTGAACCCAATTGGTCTTTTCAAGAAGGGACCCTGGAAGGGATAGGCCAGCAAGACTGATAAGCGGTTAGGCTGAGTGGGTGGGGGCCCTCCACCCCTCATGAACAGCTCAGGCGCCAGGCTGGGCATGATGAAAGAAGCCAGTGTGCGGGGGTTCCATCAGCCCAGGGCCATGCAAGCTACCTTCTCAGATCTGTGTCCCAAAGACACAGGGTAAGAGTCAAGAGACCCAGGCTCCTCACACAGGTGCAGAGGAACATGAGAAACTGTGACAGGGGAGCTGTCTGGCTAAGCTGTAGGGTCAGGGCTGTGGGCACATACTGGCCCAACAGTTGGCCTGTGGTCAGACCTGATGGCCTCTCTGTGTATGCCACAACCACCCATTAACGTGATGACTTCTCCAAGTTGAGGAGATGCACCCATTAGACATGGAGGCATCTACCTTAGAGCAAGAAACAGGCCATGCAAGGTGGCAAGGGGGCTTGTGGGCTGTCACACCTTGGGTCAGGGATGTGCTGGTGTCTAGGTTGCAGACAGGGTGAGGGAGCCAATAGTGGAGAGGATAAGAGGGTCACCCTCCTCCCCACATGGTGCCTCAACCCCAGTCAAAGGCTCAAAAGTGGTATTCTGGCTCCCAGCAACATTCCTAGTCTAAGCAAAGCATGTCTGGCACAGACCTCAGCCCCAGGTCAGCCAGGGGTGGCGGGTGGTTGGGATGAGGTGGCAGCATTAGTCAGTGAGGGGAAAGTAGAGTGATCCCGGTGGCCAGTGGCCACTTTTATGCCAGCTGGTGCTGGGTCACTAGGAAAGGGGAGGGGCAACTCCCCAGCCCCTCCACGAAAAGAGATTCTTGTGCAAATAAGCCTGTGATCATGCTCACGGGGATGCCCTGCCAGGGGTGATCTCAGGAGACAGGGGTTGGCTTTGGGCCACTTTCTAGTGTATTCAACTGGAGATACCAGAGAAAGACAAGCAGGTCTTTCTCTGCTTGATAACAGTCAACAGCTGTTATCAGCGCCCTGGGGTCTCAATTTCCCTTCATGCCACTCCCTCCAGATTCCATATAAAATCAGGCCAGTGTGTTTCGGGGAGGGAGGGGGCTGCAGGAAACTGATCAGTTGGGCAACTGGCCCAACTGACCTGCCCCTGCAAGGCACCAAGGTGGACATGGGTGTGGCAGATTCCCCTTCCCCATTGTTTTGTCTAGAGGGGGCAGAAATGTGCTGGTGTACACACTCCCTGGGTCAGCTGCCCCATTCCCCACCCACAGCAGGATCTATCATCAACACAAAAAGATGTAGGGCATCTTTTTGCCCTACATCATGGTTTTGACACTGTACTGGAAGCAGACATCCTCATCTGAAACAGTTGTGTGTCATCAGACGTTTGCTCCACCTCTCTGTTTCAGGCCCTCATCTGTAAAATGGAGATATAAAGAGACCTTAGTGATCAAGTGCACTAACTGAGTGGGTAGTAACCAAAACCATCCACAACCCAAAACCTCAGACCCTGCATATGCAGAGGCACCTAGCAGTCACCCTGCCCAAGGTGCAACCTGCCCAAGAAGTGGGGAGACCATCTAGTCGTCCTCCAGCAAAAGCCCTACTAGGCTGGATCGCATCCTGCCCCCAACCTCCGCCCCACTTGGGGTCATGGACTCAACATGCACCACCCCAGGGCAGTCCTGTCTCGAACCCCCACCCCCTCCCGCCCGAGCCCAGTCGGCTGTCACGCATCCCCCACCGGAGCCCGAGCCCGCCTGCCGCGCCGGGGCCGTTTAAATGGGCCAAGTTGTGGCGGCGGCGGCGGCGGCGGCGGCGGCGGCGGCGTCTCCCAAGTCCCCGCCGGGGAGGCGGGCGCGCGCCAGTGGACTCGGGTGCGCCGCCGGGAAGCAGGGCGGGGCGGGGGCTTGGGACCCCAGGCAGGGCGCGGGACTGGCGACTCTGCGTCGCCTCACTGCCTGGCTCAGCCCAGCTCCATCCAGCGTACGGGCCACCGACTGCCTTGGGGCGCGAGTGCAGGTGGACTCCCGACGCCCTGCGGAGCTCCAGGGTCCTAGAGTGGCGACGCGGGGCGAGCCGAGCCAAGATCAATAGCGGCTCCGGCACCACCATGCCTCCGGCCGCCGAAACCCCGCCAGCCGGTGGGGCAGCAGTCCTGGACGGCCTGGTGGGCAGCACAGTGGCGGCAGCTGCGGACGCCGGGACGCAGTAGCGGGCGGGGTGGGCACCTCCAGAGCCCCCCGACCGGGAGAGCTAACTCCAGCTTCGGCCAGAGTAAGTCGTGCCGGCGGCGGAGAGCCAGCTGAGGGACCACCGGCGCGCCATGCCGGCAGTCAAGAAGGAGCTCTCTAGCCGCGAAGACTTGGCTCTGGCCCTAGCCACCTTCCACCCGACCCTGGCCACACTGCCGCTGCCGCCGCTGCCCGGCTACTTGGCGCCACTGCCCGCAGCCGCAGCCCTGCCCCCGGCCGCCTCGCTGCCCGCCTCGGCCGCGGGCTACGAGGCACTGTTGGCTCCGCCGCTCCGCCCCCCGCGCGCCTACCTTAGCCTGCACGAGGCCGCGCCGCACCTCCACTTGCCTGGAGACCCGCTGGCCCTCGAGCGATTCTCAGCCAACGCGGCTGCTGCACCGGATTTCCAGCCGCTGCTGGACAACGGTGAGCCGTGCATCGAGGTGGAGTGCGGCGCCAACCGCGCGTTGCTCTACGTGCGCAAACTCTGCCAGGGCAGCAAGGGCCCGTCCATCCGCCACCGCGGCGAGTGGCTCACGCCCAACGAGTTCCAGTTCGTCAGCGGCCGCGAGACGGCCAAGGACTGGAAGCGCAGCATCCGCCACAAAGGTGCGGCCGCCGTGGGGGCACGAGCCGCCGCCGTCCCTCCTTCCCTCCCCGGGACCCGTGGGTCCCGGAACCCCCACTCTGCCACCTGGGAAACCTGATTTCAACCCAGAGGGGGCGCTGCAGCCGCAGGTCTACCTTGGGGACCTCCCCCACCCCTGCCCCCACATAGTCGACTTAGTAGATACGGCAGATCACGCTTGGCCTCCACAGGCTCCCAGCCGGGTCCACTGCGCCCCAGGGCTCCAGGCCACCCACTGGCAGCTCCCTTGCTATAAAGGTCTTTTCGAGGACTGAAGGCAGGGGAAGTTTACGGGAACTCGGGGGAGACCAGCTGGGAGAGACGCCTCTCCGTGGTCGCGGAGCCACGGGTGCGGCGGGAGTTGAGGGGAGCACATGCGGCCAGGGTGCGAGTGCGCGCTGGTGGAGGCTGCAAAGGCAGGTGGGAGTACCGGAGCCCGACCTGTTTGGATCGTGACACCGAAGGTGCGACGCGGAGGGCCTGACCCAGTCACTGGATTTAGAAAGTTAGGAACCCAAGAGTGTTCGTTCGCTCTGGAGGTTCGCACCCCGTGTAGCTGCCCCTTTCCTGCTTTGAGGGGAAAACGCAGGCCCTGTCCCTCCGGCGACGCTCACCTGCTACCCAATCGACCTTCCTCCACCCTGCCGCGGGTCCCGCGGGACCGGCTTGGAGAGGATGGAGGGCGGGAGGAGGGTGCCGAGGGCGGGAAGGGGCCGCCCTTCCTCAGGGGAGGACGCTTGCTCAGGACTTGAGTTTCAGAGCCCAACAGCTCCCAGCCGCGTCCGCGAGGGTGGGGCAGATGGCAGGCTCGGAAGTTGCCAGACGTTAGTGTGGGAGATTGTGGTGAATTTCTTGCACCTGCTGGAGGTGGGGACTTGCTGCTGACTCTGCCGCAGAAGCGCCGGCGCATGCCGATGTTACCTATGCCTGGCTGTTCATTCATGGGTTCTACTTGGTCTCCTGGCAGGGAAAAGTCTGAAGACGCTTATGTCCAAAGGGATCCTTCAGGTGCACCCCCCGATCTGCGACTGTCCCGGCTGTCGAATATCCTCGCCAGTGGTGAGACAGGAGATAAGCTGGGGCTGGGGGTGCTGCTCCTCCCCTTTATACTCCTAACCTCAACTCTGCATGTGTGCTCCTAGAGGAAGCCTCCCAAAGGCAAATGGGCTGGGGGGTTGCTTTGTGTTCTCCAAGCCTGTACCTGGAAAGGAGAAGGAATCCCAGGTGCAGGAACCCTCCAGGGTTGGATGTTGAGTGGGTCCTGCCTGTTCTGCAGCATTCTGTCCCTCCACACCCTATCTTGGCGTCCTGGGAACAGCTCAGGATCCAGGATCTTCCCTCTGGATAGTGTCATTCAACTTGGGATTGGGGACACCCCTGGCTCAGGTCTGGAGGTCACCATCTGGCCCAGCTAGGAGAGTTGCTGGTTCTGGCGTTGGGCTCATTCTGGGGTATAACAGTGCTAGCTGACTTGAAATGCATTCTGGGGTGGCCTCAGGCATGAGAGTGAGTGATTTGTGTCTCTGGGGTGCTAAGGGCTGGATCCTGCCCTGCAAGAGCCTTGATGTTTAAGTGTCCTGGTAAGAGAGCCAGGTCAGAGTAAGAGTATTTATAGTGTGTGCATCCAGAGAGCTGGCAGCTGGCTGGAGGACCCCTACCCCCAAGATAGGCAATCCGTTGATGGCCTGTGAAACAGGAGAGATTGAGGAGCAAGCATGCTCACCACCAGGCAGGGAGAGTTGGAGGATTGATCTGAAAAGGAAATTGCCTCTGGAGAGGGACCAAGTTAGAGCCCCTAAGAGGAAAGAGCTAATCAGCAAGTCACTAGGCTAGGGCTGCTGTTCCTGGATCCACCTCACTTCCCTCCTGCAGGAAGGGACAGGAGAGGCAGAGGTGCCCAGAGGACCCAGGTAGCCCTACCTTAGGTTTATTTGGGGAAGGGGGGCTGGGTTTGGGTGTTCTGGGTTCTTCGTGGGTCCTGAGAACCATGGCCTGGGCAGACTGGAAATCCCCATACAACCTCAGGCCACCACACGCACTGACTTCCCACCAGCGGATGGCATAAGAACTCCACAGGCAGGTTGCACCGTCATCTGTACCGTACCCGCAGCATAAGAAGCCAGGGTCTCCACTGTTGTACCCCTGCAATTAACTGAAGTTGGAGAGGGGTGCCCTGAGTTACTCGGGGGTCTGTTTTCTGTTTGGGTGGGAGGGGCCCTGCTGCTCAACCTGCCATCCTCTGAGGCCTCCCACATGAGGTGGTAGCAGGTGACTGGGGCCCATCGTCAGCAACCCCCTCACCTTGAGTGGGACCCTGTAATTTAGAGAGAACTGAGGCTGCTGCCTACCTGGGATTCCCTGTCATTGCCCAGGAACAATTCAGACCTGGACCTGCCTCTTTTGAACCTGGTCACCCTATGGTCCCCCTTCTCTCCAGCCTCTACGTTTCGGACACTGATGCTGTCTTCCCTACACCCATGCCAGGCCCTCAGTTGTGTATCTATATCACAGATACTCCAGGGGCAGAATATGGGTGTGTATGTGGCTTAGGAGACATGTACAAGGTACCCACTCCTGCTGTCTAATGAGAGCCCAAGTTCTCAAATCAGGGGTCCAGTTGAGGAAGGATCTGGGCAGGGCCAGGGAAGCCATCTGGGTTCTCAGTGCCCCTCCCCATGGGATGCCCCCCCACCTACCCCAGGTACCCTCAGGGCATGGCAGGGGGATGATGGGCTTCAGTGATGGGCTCTATTTGTCATGGTGCTGGCAACAGCCTGGGTTCCATTCCAGCCAGCCAGTTCTGGCCCCCCTCCAACTCTCATAGCCCTCACGTCCTCCTCTTCCCTGTCCCACAGATGAGAGACAGAGAAATGTTTCATTTTCTTCTTAAAAGAATATTTTACTTAAAGCAGAAAAGTGGGAGAGGACAGAGTGCAGAGCTGCTGAGGTTCTGGCAGGCTGAGGAAGGGCAGAGCATACCAAATGCTGGGGCTGTTGCAAATGATGCCTTGTGCCTGGCTGACAAGGGCCTAGGGCATAGATGGGTACTCACCCCTGCAGAAGGGTACTCTGCTGTTGTTGGAATAGTGCAGGGCCATGGCCAGAAAGGGGCATAGAATAGACCCTATCATCTTCAGGTCTGCCATTAGACCCTAGTGGCCCACCCCACCCTCCCTAGTGCTGCTGGGTCTATCTCACCAACTCCGTGGCAGAGGATAAGGAATGGTATCTTGGGCAGGCCCCAGCAGATCCCTGAGGGCAGGTGCAGTGGAGACCTTTGCTTGCAGTGCCCAGAAGAGGGTACTGCCCAGACTGAGCCTTGCTTCTGGACGTGATGGTAGTTCTGTGTCTGAAGAGATAATTTTGCGCTGGAGGAAAGGATACTGCACAGTAGCCCATCACTGGATCTAGAATGACCTAGGGGCAGGACCCTCCCTACCCCCTTCCTCCTTAAGCTCATGGGTGTGGTGAGGACCTCTGGGGGTGGGTGATCAAGGAGACCCTGAAGACTGAAGAGAGGAAATTTGATATTCTCAAGGGCTGTGCCACTCCAAGCCAGCAACCTGTTAACAAATAAGAAAAAGCCTGCCCGCTGAAAAATAATTAATGAACTACCTTTTTTCCCCAAGAGGCAAAAAGACCCAAAGACACAAAGCTAAAAAAGGCCCAGAGATAGAGCATGCACTCACTCACTGCTCTGTGCAGTGCTGAATGTCTGTCCACTGGTACATGTGCATGAGCTATATGTACACAGAGCCCCCAGCTAAAGGCACCCACACTTGCACTGTGTGTGGGTGCAGGGGGAAAGAGAAAAGAGCTTTGTGAAAAGTTCTATCATATAGGGCCCATGGGACAAAAGATTTGGGCTGGTCAGAGTTCCTCTTCAGGCAACCTGTGAATGCCAGGCTTACAGTTTGCAAGGACCAGTGACTCAGGCAGCTGCCATCAATTCCCCTAGGTCCCAGGCTGCCCCTGAGCTGGTCTCTGCTTGGTGCTAACAAAATAGAAAAGAGCGCTGGGGTTGTAACTCAGTAGCAGAACATTTGTCTAGCCTACACTGGTTCAGTTCCCAACACCACAAAAAAAAAAAAGTGTCAGTTTCAGGGACTGGCAGAGAATATGGCAGGATTTCAGGCAGATACATGCACAGGTTCCTGTTCATCCATCAGGACCAACCTAAGAGCCTTGCCCCAGGCTACACACAGACCCCAGCAGACTCAAGAAGGGAGCCAAGAAGGCAGGGTCTACCAGCTGTGAGCACCTCTCCCTCAGGCTGACCCTGCAAAGCAGAGCTGGGCTGGAGCCTGCTGGCTTCCAATGCCCTTTCTCATTGGCTAGCCTGCAGCAATTCAACCCCTGCACCTTGACCCAGGCTGGGACTTAGGGCCTGGCGCAGCCTAACCTCCTCTTCCTACCTGTCCAGAACCGGGGGCGGCTGGCAGACAAGAGGACAATCACCCTGCCCGCTGTGCGTGCCCTGAAGAAGGAGAGGACTCCCAGCTTCTCCACTAGTGATGGTGACAGGGATGGAAGTGGCCCCGTTTGTGGGCGGCAACCAGGCTTGAAGCAGGAGGATGACCCGCACATCCATATCATGAAGAAAAGGTATTTGATCTGGGGCCAGGACAGAAGACTCAGGGCTCCCTTAGGGTAAGGCATCAAGGCAAGGGGTCTTCTGGGGATGCTGCTGTGACCAGGGGGTGCATAAGCAGGAGCTGCTTCCTCTCATTGTCTGGTCTTGCTTTCCCCTCCTACCTGTCCTGTGCAGGGGTCACTTTTGGATGGAGGGTCAGCAGCAATGGGGCAGGGGCCTGCACCTACCTGAGATGATGTTCTGACTCTCCTATGGGTGGCTGCTGTGGGGTTTACTCTCTGAAGTGGTTCCACACTGGCCAGAGCAGCTGCAGCAACTAGGAATTTGGTTTGAGTTGAATGAGTACTGTACAGAGGAAACATCAGTTCCCAGCTTAGCACGGGTTCTTCTGGGGGGCAAGGTCCAGGACTGTTCCACTTAGTCTTTGGTGAGGCCAGGCACTGGCTCCTGCCTGGCTGGTGGGAGCTGCAGCAGGCTGAACTGAGCATAGGGGGCCACTCCTCAGCCACTGCCCTAGCTGCTGGTGCATCAGGGCACTGGAGGCAGGTCACACATACTGTGCAATCCAGGCGGGGTCCTAGAACCACACTGATCCCCCTCTTCTCTCCCTGCAGAGTCCACACTCACTGGGATGTGAACATCTCTTTTCGAGAGACGTCCTGCAGGTAGGAGTCCAAGCTGACTAGGCTTTTGCCAACACTGTATGGGCACCAAGGAATTTGTTCTGCTTCCCTTGGGCCTGCTTTTAAATCCTTAAGCCACTTGCTGGTCCTCTCTCCTCTGCCCATGGTCTCCTGTCTTGTCCACTGTCCCTGCTAATGGGAGCCAGTGTGGGTCCAGACTCTGCCAGATTTTCTGTGTGTGCTTCTTGCTCAGCTTGGGAATCAGGTGGCACAATGCCTATCTCAGCCACGTACAGACTTGTGCCAGACCTTGGGACCAGCACAGGTAGAGTTCTGAGCATGCCAGTTTTTGGAGCCATAGTGCATGCTGCCCCCCACCCCCACAGGACTGTCTACTAGCACCCATCTGCTTAAAAATGAGGCCATGACCTCCCCCTCCAACCCTCCTGCTATGTGAGAATTCTGATGTGTGGGTTGGGTCTTGAAGGATGTGTAGGAGTTCACTAGGGAAAGCTGGGAGGAGTCTACAAAACTATGGAGGAATGATGGAAGAGGATGTAAGGTGCTGGGGGCATGGCTCAAGTAGTAGATCCTGAGTTCAAACCCTAGCACTGAGAGAGAGAGAGAGAGAGAGAGAGAGAGAGAGA